CACTCCTTCACTCTGTATGGTTCCACTCCGTATGGTTCCACTGCCCCTGCCAACATGTTTGTCTCACATACTGGACTCTTCTTACTCTCTTCCACCTGGTACCCACTCTGACACCCTTTCGTGCCTTTTCAGAGGAGCATGTGATCATCCAGGCTGAGTTCTATCTGAAGCCTGACTCATCAGGCGAGTTTATGTTTGACTTTGATGGTGATGAGATTTTCCACGTGGATATGGAAAAGAAGGAGACAGTGTGGCGGCTTGAAGAATTTGGACATTTTGCCAGCTTTGAGGCCCAGGGTGCCTTGGCCAATATAGCTGTGGACAAAGCTAACCTGGACATCTTGATAAAGCGCTCCAACAACACCCCAAACACCAATGGTAACTTCTACACCGCTAGACATTGGAATCCTAACGTTGAAACAGATGCTTTGGCTTGTGTTACATTTTTGTGACTGACTTTCCCTGCCAGGGGGCTAGAGTCGCCATCAGCAAGCCCCTACCTCTCATGCCAAAGGCCCAAGAACAATGTGTGAGTTTATTCCTTTCCTGAGGTGCTCACATCTTATCCTCACCACCCACAGTGACTCATACTGTGAGTCATTGCCCCAAATCTATGCCAGGAGAGACAGGAATAAAATTATACCCGTTACTTAAAGTATCCCAATATATCTTATACAATAACATTGGTTCCAATTCACGGGGGAGAGTATCAGAGATAGGTATCTGAGACTGTGGCATAGATTCTTGGGACACATTTCCAATTGCTTTTTCAAAAGCTTCAGTGGGAGGGAGAGGGTATAGCCTAAGCAGGGAGGCCTAATTTCTGTCATGCGTCCCCAGAACCTCCCGAGGTGACGGTGCTCTCAAACAGCCCTGTGGAACTGGGAGAGCCCAACATCCTCATCTGTTTCATCGACAAGTTCTCCCCACCAGTGATCAATGTCACGTGGCTTCGAAATGGAAAGCCTGTCACCACAGGAGTGTCAGAGACCGTCTTCCTGCCTCGGGAAGACCACCTTTTCCGCAAGTTCCACTATCTCCCTTTCCTACCCTCGGCGGAGGATGTCTATGACTGCAAGGTGGAGCACTGGGGTTTGGATGAGCCTCTTCTCAAGCACTGGGGTATGGACCATTCGTCAATCTCCTTTCTTCTATGGTTTCTTCCCATGATGCTTTGTCTGGTGCTTTGAGACCCAGAGTACTGTAACTCATCCATAACCATTGCTACAAATCCTATTCCTTGTCTTATCCCATTATTCAGCTCCCACTTGTTAATCTGCATTCCCTTCATATATCATTCTGTCTTCCTCTTATTTAGGTGACTAGTAACTCTTCATTGACTAAATGTCTACATTTGCATCTAAGTGCTTTTCCAGACC